GCTTCCTGCTTTTCAGAGTTCCCAGCCTCTCAATTACTTTTCATAAGCCTCCTGGGGGGTGGGGAGTGGGGGACGATAGCATTATCCCATTTTAGAGATGGGGAAACTGAGGATCTGAATAAGCAGGGTGACTGCCAGATCTAGAACTAGAAGCCAGACCTCCTAGCTTCTAAATGGTGCTCTTTCCACACCACAGTGAGTGCTCTGTGTTTAGAGTGTGGGTTCAAGACTCTGGCTGCCCATTAGAATCACCTGGGCAGCTTCCAAAGAAATTCCAGCACCTGCCTGAGCTCCCCAGACCACTGAAATCAGAATCTTGGGACTCTTGGCGGTTGGGGTGGGGCCTGGGCATCAGTATCTGTTAAAGCTCCCTTTGGAGATTCTAGAGCACAGCCAGAGTTGGAAACCACAGCCACAGTTGGGACCATCTCCCAACTCCCCCAGCGCTGGTTTCCTCTGTGCCCCTGCCTTCCTTCCTGCCCGGCTGTCACAAACGGGCCTTGGCCCAATCTGGTCCTCGTAAGACCCAGGTGCCCCTGGCACAGGTGGATGTCACGGTTGTTTTGCAGAGTAACTCCCCCGGGTCCCAATCCAGGAAGCCAAAGTCTCCTGGACCCCCTGAGAGGAGGTGTGAGCAGGGAGGTGGGGAAGCAGGTGGCTCTGACAGACAGAAAGCAAACAGCTCAAAGGGGTGGCAGGCTGCATTTTATTCATCGTTAATTTAAACACCCTTCAACTCCTCTCTTGGAGTGCTGCTCAGAAAAATAAATGTATTGTTTAAGAAACCCTGCAGGCTTGCTCCGAATGCTCTAACCCCCACCTAAGAGAAGATATAGCATAGAAAAGGATTCGTAAAGCAAGGTAGAGCTTCCCTAGGGAGGAGGGGGAGGAGGGAGAGGCTGAGGGAAAGGGGAAGAGGGTCTGGGGCTGGGTTAGGTAGAAATCCCATTGCTTCTTAACACATAATGAGCCTGGCTGGACACGGGGTCTGAAGCTGCCAGAGCCACTGCAGGGGCAAGAGTCTGGCCCCGAGGCCATGCTGATGAGCCGTCCTGGGGTCAGGGGTGGTTTCAGCAGCCCTTCCCCCTCTTCCCACCCCACAGAGTGTGGAGCCTGCAGCCTCACATGCTGGAACAAAGAAACAAGCCTCTGCGCCCCTTCTGGACTCAGAAGTGCCCTAAGCAGTCTGCCTGGATGTGCTCTCCTGAGGAACACAGGAGGAATTGCGCTTTCTGTTTGTTAAGAATGTAAAAAGTTACAGTAACATGGAACCGCCTGGCCCACAGCTCCTGTGCTGCGCCTCTGTGGCTGCCCTCTGCCTGGTTCCCTAGAAGCTTCTCCTTTGGCCTGAGGGCTCAGACTCCCTTACCTCAGAGCACGCAGGGAGAAGGCATCTGCTGGGAGGCCTGCCTGAGGGATGGAGGAGTCTGGGTAAATTTAGCAGCTATTTCCCAGGATTTGGCTTGGGTTTGGATGCTGGCTTCTGTGTAAAACACAAATTCATGCAAAGTGTACACGAAACTCCCCCAAGGCAGAGAGGAATTTTCCAGGTCCTAGTAGATCTCCAGGGAGTTAAATATGGGAAATCTTACTTCTTAAAGTGGCCCAGACTGGGATTTTTCCTTGGGAAAAGGGGCTGGTAGCTCTTTGTAACGCTGATGTGTGTGTGTGCATGATGCTGCAGTGTGTGATGCTCCTGGGCAAATGCCCAGGACAGTCTGGCATTTTCCACAAGCTGAGGGCCTGAGACTGCCTGAGCCTTCTGACTCCTTCTCCAGGCCTGGAGGCTCTGGCTTCAGTCAGAGGACACAGGGGCCTGACCACCTGGCCTTATTAGCAAACAAGGACACCAAGGGTGGCTTCTTTACCTGCCCACTCGGCTCTGAGAAGGCCTGGCTGCTCTCCAAGACCCTGGCTTCTGTGTGGCCACAGCCGGGTGGCAAGGGCTTCTTAGAGCCCATGCCGTGTTTATGGGAGCCCCACAGCCCCGCCATGAGCAGGCTGAGTGTGGGCCTAAGGTTAGCAAGCAACTCCTGGAGCCTGGGGGAGTTGTCGACTGCAGTGAGTGACCGTCTGTGGGTCACACTGGAGACCCCTACATGGTGGGAGAGGCCACTGCATCTAAGAGAATGGAGCCCTTTCTTAGCCTGAGGTTCAGAAGAACCTGCACCAAAGAAAAGGGTCCCTCTTGATGTCATTGTTCCAGAAATGATGGGGGGACCCCATCCCTGCTTGCCAAGCAGTCCTGGATTTCAATGCTCACCGTCAAGCAGGATGTCAAACAAGTCCTTCAGGCCTGGGTCTGGTCTCCATCAATCCCCCTGACCTTGGGAGCCTGGCTTTTCCTGGGAAGCAGCCCCTGGCCTCTGGAGCACTGAGCCCTTTGGCCTGAGGTGAAGGACAATAATGTACTGAGATTGGGGGCAGGGAGACCTGGGGAACATGGGCAAAAATACACGCGTGCCACTGGATCCTGAGTTACCATTGTAACTTGGAGGACTGGTGTGTCTCTGGGAGGTTGGTGAGAGGGAAGGGTCCCTTCCCTGCCCCCTCAAACCATGCTTACGGTTCCCCCCTCAGAAGCTTGCACAAGCTGCCTGCAATTGCTTCCTTCCAAAGGCAAAGCATAGGAAAAGAAGTGAAAATAGCTGGGGCTGCAGCATGAGCAACTCAGGATAGACTTTAGGAAGCACTGCTGACAGAGAAGACTGCCAAGGAAGGGTTTGAGTTTTTCTTCTCCGGAGGCAGGCCCTGTTCCCTCCTGCAGGGATGGGATTGTGTGCTGGTCAGTGGGATCGCCTGGATGCCTCTTTGGCCTGTCTAGCTCAAGGAGCCTGGATGGATGGGTCTTAAGCCTCCTGTGCCATTCTTGGGGCTCACTTCCTCTGGGTTGGCTGCTATTTTGCCTTCCATTAAGTCTTTGTGGTCCAGATGCCTCTATCATGGGGATCTCTACTTCCCCCTCTGGATGGCTCAGATCCCCAAGTTATTTCCTGTTGCCTAGGTGACACCTCTAGTTGGATGCCTTTTAATCTTCCCTTCTTTTAAAGGGATAAACCTGACACTGTCTCTAGTTCCTGTGAGAGGGCCCTGCCCTAGAGAACGTGTGCCTCCTCAAGCGTGCAGTCCCTTCAGTGTGACTGCAGCCATCGCCCAGATGGGGGCGGGGGTGGTCCCCGAGCAGACCTGACTGACAGTCACCATGGATCCGGGAAGTGTGGCTCTCTAGAATTCCACCCTTCAGAACTTAGCAAGACTGACCTCTCTCCAGGCCAGCTCTGTCTCACTGGCTTCACCCCCAGATTAGGGCCTGTTTTTACAATCGAATCCCAACCCAAAGTAGAAATTAACGCCCACTCCCCAAAAAAGAAATGATCCAAAGTAGCTGGAGGGTCACTCAGATCCCAACCCATTTTTTCCCTCCTGCCATGAGCTGGAAGGGGAAAGGGGAGGCTGACATTCAAGCCTGACTCGTAACGCTGTGTGTGCGCGCGTGTATATGTTCCAGGCACATTTCCTTCCCTGCCAGGGAGGGGGATTTCACGGCTCTCCATGCCTCTCGGGCAGACCGTGTGAGGTGTCTGGTGCTTTTCTAGACTTCCCGTCAGAAGCTGCGTAGATTGGTGGGTCACACAGTGTATGACTAGACTCCGGCATTTGTCCTTGGGATTGTCATCTTTTTGGAAAAGAAAACTGGGCCCAAAGAGTGTTCCTTTACAGACCAAGACCCCCATCCTTTCAATTAAGGCGGCGTCTGGCCTTCCTCCAGGTCAGTGACCCCTACGCTGCAGAGGGCGTCTGGGAGAACCTGTCCCTCAGCTGGAGGATCATCCAGAGCAAAACTTGAATCCTCAAATTGCTTCCATCCACCAGTTCCCCCAGCTCCCACCCTCCTGCCTCCCTCCACCTCCAGCACAGACTGTGTGTGGAAGAAACAAATTCACTTGATTCTCAGCGGGGACCAAACAGGGTTTAGAATGGGATGTGTCCCAAACACATCACGGGCTCTGCAGCCAAATGCTCTGACATTTGCAGGATGGCTGCTTTGGGTTCCTGGCGCTACAGGGCCTGGTGCCCCAAGGGCGTAGCTGGCAGAGCCCTGACGCAGAGGAGGAGGAGGGGCGGCTGTGGGGGAGTGGGCTTCACTCTGCTCCCTCAGTTCTCTAAAAGGGGAAAAAGTTGAACTGATTAGCAGGAGTTAAGAAAAAAAAAATCCACACTGCCACCAACAAAAAGTCTCGTCTGAGAAGATTCAGACATTCCTGATTAATAATAAAAAGCATTCCCGTGGATGACGCTGGTGAAAGAAAGGAGGGTTGGGGGATCCAGAGATGTGCCCCAGTCTCAGAGATCAGCCCGCTGAAGAGCAGGGCTCCCGCAACGGAGTGCTCCCCTGCCTGCAGGCCCCCCTGGGCTTTCCCTCCTTAAAAGTAGCTGCCCTGTGTGCTGTGCTAAGCAGACTAACTCCAGGCTGAGAAAGGCCAGCTAAGCCCCTTACCACTGCAATTTCCAGATCTGGGGGAAATGCCACAGTCCGCAAGTTGGTGCCATGTTTCATCTCATTGCATAATACTACACCCTTCTCAGTGTGTAGCGGCTGTTCTATATATATGCATCGGGAGGCGACATATGGCTCTCCCCACCCCCACCTGTCAAAACTGTGACTATATCACTTCTGACGACCAGAAGGAAGCTGCTAGGCTGGGCCAGGATTCTAAATGCTGCGGAGGTAATTCAGAGCCATGAAAAGTTGCACCATATGCTTTGGGGTTGCCGGTGGCTTATGTGCATGGAGAGGGGGTTTAGTGCCAGTCTACAAAACCCAGGGGAGGCACTCTCTTCACTGCGGTATGCACGGGGTGAGGGTCTGGGGTGCCACTTTTTCTCTCCCGGGAGGAGAATCTGCTGGGGCCACGGTTCTCCAAGAGGGGACCCACAAAGAAAACAGGCTCCCCCAAAACCTGCCCTTGATAACATCAGGTCTGGCCAAATAGTGTTTCTTTAAAAAAATTTTTTTTTGGTTTCATTTTATTGGATAAAGATTAAGAAAGCGCCAGCGTCTGCGAGAAGGAAAGCAAACCACGCCCAGCGGCACGCCGGCCTGGTGAGGGTCCCTGGCGCGGCCGGGCGGGCGGGCGCGCGTCTACCTGGAGGCGCTGGTCTCGGCCAGGCGGTTGTTCATGATGCCCAGCGCGCCCACGCCGCCCGAGAAGCCGTTCTGGCGCGTGTTGACGCACACGCTGCGCGGGTAGCCGTTGGCCGTCTCGGATAGCTGCTTCTGCAGCAGCGCCAGCGACACCTTGTTGGAGGCCGTGAGGTCGCGCATGGAGATGAGCTCGCCCGACAGGCGGCGGCCCTCGGCGTCGCTGTCGCGGGCCCCGGGGTCGGCGCCGAGCGCGGCCAGGCGGCGGCGCAGCCGGGAGCCCGGGGTGATGGCGTTGCGCCGAGCCAGGGGCGCGCCGGGCGCCGGGCAGCAGCGCGCGCAGCAGCGGCAGCTCAGCTTGCGCAGCATCCAGTTGAGCACCTGCTTGATGAGGATGGAGATGACGTTGAAGAGCGAGTAGATGCAGCACACGCCGAGCAGGATGAAGAGGAAGTTGCCCAGGCGGTAGAGCCCCTGGTTCCGGTAGGCGGCGTGCTGGCTGCTCACCAGGTCCCCGAAGCCGATGGTGCTGAAGGTGACGAAGCAGAAGTAGAGCGAGTCCACGTAGTCCCAGCCCTCCACGCTGGTGTACATGGCCGAGGCGCAGCACGACAGCAGCACGGCGAACAGGCCCAGGATCAGCAGCACGTGGTACACCGAGGGCTTCCAGCCCGCCAGGCAGTCGGCCTCCGAGAGCGCCGAGCCGCGGCGGAAAGTGGCGGGCAGCAGGCCACTGCGGCGCAGCTGGCGCTCCCGGCAGGCGCGCATGATGAAGGCCAGCAGCGAGATGATGCGCTCCAGGAAGAGGTTGAAGAACAGGATGGTCCCGGCACAGCCGAACAGCCCGTAGGCGATGAGGAAGGCCTTCCCGCCCACCGTCGCGGGGGTGGTCATGCCGAAACCTGTGGAGACAGGGCAAGGGTCAGCGAGGTCCTGACAGGGCAGGTGGCTCCTACCGGGCGGGGAGGTGGGGAGGGCAGGCGTATGCAGGTGCTGAGATGGCTCCTCTCCTGAGTGGCATCACTCAGTGAGATAGTACTTAGACATATCTCCCGCTTGGTGTGCTAGACATGGTTCCTGTTCTTGGCAACCCCTAAACTGACAGGAGACGCGGCCCCTCGTCTTGGGGATCTAGAAATCAATATGGGTGGGGCAGGATGGTCACTAGGAAGGACCCATCAAGACATGAAACAGAAACCGCTGCACAGGGGCAAACCACTGAGACCCACAAAGCAAAGTGTCACCTGCTCTCCTGCCGCTCAAATCGGTTTTTATGTACCAGTGGCACACCTGGGCCTTGTTAGGACAGTATTCCATCAAGGCTTCGTTTTATCCGGGATCAGGTGGTGTGTGTTCATCCAGGTGGCTATATTTAATGGTCTCTGAAAAGGGCTTGCTGAAACTGACAAAAGGATTATTTGGGAATGAGTCCACAACCCTCCCAGAGTGAGCATGGCTCTGCCATTGGGTGTGGGCTTCTTCTCAGCCAAGGACCACCATCACCCTTCCTCAGACTTGTGGCCAAGGAAAGGTTTTGGCCCAGCTGTGTCCTCTGCTGCCGTGTGTCTGGGTCACTTTTATCCTAGGAGGTCTGCTCTCTGGGCAGCAGCCTATGCTTTGAACTCATAATTAATTCTTAACTTTCCCACTTGTTCAATGCACAGTCTTTAAGGGAGATTCTTTTTTTTAATTTTTTGTTTATTGCAGTAACATTGGTTTATAACATTGTATAAATTTCAGGTGTACATCATCATACTTCTATTTCTGCATAGATTACATCATGTTCACCACCCAAATACTAATTACAACCCATCACCACACACATGTGCCGAATTATCCCTTTTGCTCTCCTCCCTCCCCCATTCCCCTCTGGTAACCACCAATCCAATCTCTGTCTCCATGTGTTTGTTTATTGTTGTTATTATCTACTACTTAATGAAGGAAATCATACGGTATTTGACCTTCTAAGGGAGATTCTTTATCAACTGATTTCTGCAGAAGGCTTGTCTTCCTGCCTAGTGTGCCCGGCCCATGCCATCCAGGGCAGCACCACTCTGTCCCTCCAATGGGAGCTCTCAGCCTGCTGCTGGCTGTGGCGTCTTTGTGGGGCCACGGTTGCCTGACTCTGGTTATGGGAGGAGATTTAATATCCTGGCAGGAAGAATTTCTGCTGCTTGGAGTCTGAGCTGAAAATGGATCATGTGTCTGAGCAGCACCACGGCACCTTTCAACACCTCTGCAGCAAAAGTTCAGGGGCGTCCCTGTGTCATTCATGCCCAGTGGCAGGATGGTTACCTGTGTGCTGCCAGTGGGGTGGGGCCAGCCCTGGGAAAGCAGTGGCTGTTTCCCTAAAAAAGCCAGGGGAAATATTTTTTCAGAGTAATTCTTTAAATTTGCATGCTAATCATTTTCTGGATTCCCTGGAGGAAGTCCCCAATTGCCTGACATGGTCTTCATCTTATGCTTAATGAGTGAAGTTAGGAGAAAATCTTATGACAATACCTATGTGGAGGAAGATTCAGAATTTGGCCACAAGAGTGTGAAGAAACTAAGCTAGCAGTGTCACCAGGAACTCAGTAGAGGGATTTTGCTATACTTTGAAGCCAAACTCAAGTTCTTGAGTTCATAAAGAAATCAACTCTGAATCCACATGGCTATATGTAGAGTGGGAGTGTGCGTGTGTGTGTGTGTGTGTGTGTGTGTATTTATAAAAAGTCCTAGACTGATAACCCAAGTGTCCAGCAGCCTAATTCATGGTCTCTTCCTACAAGGAATTACTAAACAAGAACGAAAAGCATGAACCACTGCTACTTGCAACAACAGGGATGAATCTCACAAAAAGAATGTTAAACAAAAGAAGCTGGATGCAGAAGAATACACTATGTTATTTCATTCACATAAAACTCAAAACCAGGCAAAACCAAAAATATGGTAATTTTTCTAGGGATGCATACTTGGTAAAATTGTAAGGAAAAGTGAGGAGGTGATTTTGATAAAAGTCAGAATTGGGGGTTCCTCTGGGGGTGGCTGGTGGTAGTGACTGGGAGGGGACATGGGGGGCCTCCGGGGTGCTGGAAATGTTCTGTTGAGCTGGGTGGTGGTTACAAGGGTGTTAGTTGTATAATAACTTGTCAAACTCTGTGTTTTATGGTTTTTTTGTACTCATGATAAGAAAAAATTTTTAAAAATTCCTAGACTGTTAGAACTATAAGGGACCTTAATTCTTTTTTTTTTTTTTGCTGAGGAAGATTCGCCCTGAGCTAACATCTGCTGCCAATCTTCCTCTTTTTTTGGTATGTGAGCTGCCACCACACCATGGCCACTGACAGACGAGTGGTGTAGGTCAGTGCCCGGGAACTGAACCTGGGCCACCAAAGCAGAGCGTGCCGAACGTAACCACCAGGCTACTGGGGCTGGCCTGGGGACCTTAATTCTGATCTACCCCTCACTGTGAAGGTGAGGGAGCAGGGGCAGAGGGGACATGACCACTAGCTTGTTGGGGGCAGACACCATACCTGTGTCCTGGCTTCTGGCTGGTGCTTAGACCATTATACACAACACTGCTTCTACTCATGTAGGGAAACAAAATCGCTAGTAGGGGGATCATTTTGCTAAATTCCTAAATGGAAAAGCCTAAGCCTGGAAATTAATACTTTGCCTAAGAAAGTATTGAATGGGATTTCCCTATTCTTGAGGATTTTCAGCTAAAGTCTCCAAACTAAGAGTGACATGTGGTATGTTATCCCCTATTCTAGAGAGAAGTTCTGGATACATCTATGCTGGATTACTAAAACAGCAAAATGGGTCTGGCAACTAGCAACACCCACTATCCACCTCCAGGCTGTTCTGAAAGGCTAGAAATTATCCAGGGCTAGTGGAAGAATGTCATGGAGTTGGAGAGCTGTTGTAGTGGAGGGTGCTGTGGCATCCCCCATCCACCCTCAGGCCAAGTGATGGGGGAGGTCGTCAAGAGAACTCAGGCTGCAGCAAGAGCAGAGCAGGCAGCTCATTCCCCGGCTGGATGCTGGCTGAGCTGCAGACACTCGCAGGCCCACCCAGGGCCACTGGATTAGAGCATGGTGAGAGCTCCAGGAGAGCCAGGGGTGTCTCCTGGAGTCCGAAGCTGTGCTGGAGAGTTCTCTGGGTGGGAGGCTGACTGGAGCAGCCACACAGGCAGGGGTGGGACGAGGACAGCAGTGGGAGCAGCTTGTACTTCTAGGGCTTGCTGCATCAAGGGTGTGCGAGAGTGACGGGTCCAGTGGACACTGCAGAAGGCAGCTAGATCTGAAGAGACTCTGCCCCAAGAGGGCTGCCTGCTGGATGGAGCAGCCCTAGCAATAAGAGGCTGAGGGGTGGAGGGCTAGGGACAGCATGCGAGGTAGTCACGGGGCTACGATGGCGAGGGCACCACCCACTCAAGGAATGGTGCAGGGCAGTGGTCCCTGTGGGGGGTCTCCAAAGACCCACAAATGGGCCCCATGAAAGGGCATGTCTGTCCCAACAGTGGGCACTGCAGCCCCACCAGCAACAGCTAAGAAAGGGTGACAGTGGCACCAGTGATGTCAGACCAAGAGCAAAGAGACAGAGTCCCCCTCCGGCACCACAGGTCCCTGAGCCTCGGGGCAGGCTAGAGCCAGAGGAGAGGCTGAGCTTTGATTAGAAGTGAATGTGATTAGATTTTGATTTAGATTGGATTGGACACCTGAGAATGCGTCTCTATTTTAAAACTGCTGTTACTTTCTCTTTTTAAAAAAAAAAAAAAAACTATTTGGAAAACCCTATCCAAGATGCTGTTAAGGGATCCAAATGGGAGTTCTTCAAGAAAATAGAAGACAAAGCCATTGCCTGTGTTAGCACATTTAATAGACTGGTTCCACCTGGATTCGCTCTCCGCTGTGGTGAAGGTCCACACCTAACAGTGCCAGCCTGCACGTGCCATCTCGCTTCATTCCCACAACAACCTGTGAGGGAGGCGTGCCTCCATTCAACAGATGAGGAAACCCCAGGTCAAGGGGTTAAGCAGTTGCCTAGGCCCCACAGCCTAGAAATGGTGGAGCTGAGACTGAAACCCAGGTCTGCTGGCATCTAACATCCATGTTCTTTCCGCCACCCCAGACTGTCTTCCGAGAGCACCACAGGGCCTCCATTGCTCTTAGAAAACCAAATTACCATCCTCCAGGGCGGGCAGCCAGGAGAGCACTTTCACGTGGGCAGGGTGGCCGACCCTTAGTCATGACTCCTGTGCCCAAGAGTCCTCTGTCTTCTTGTGGCTCTCTTTCCACTGACCATTGCTGGGAGAGGGGCCACTGCTCTTCCCTGAATGTGAGCCCATGGTGGACTCATCCCCCTTCCCATAGCACAGCTAAGACAAGCAAGGCTATTTAAACCAGACTTGACCCAGAGCTTGGGGACAGCAGGAAGAATGAGACACAGAGGGGACCACTGCTGTTGCCTGACAGTCTGGCTGGTTGCCCACAGGCAGGGTATGCATCTGCCCTTTGGGGTTCCCCCAGAATTGCCCCTGCCTAACCTACCCCCCTGAGTCAACGGCCATGTCCTCCACTTTCTGGCATCCTCAGATTCTACCCAACTCCTCTATGTTCCAACTCCTGGCTTCTGCCCAAGGCCCTCCTTTGGAGTCTGAATTTCATACTGAGGATCTGCTTCTCCCTTGATGATGGACCCCAGAACGAGACCTGTTTCCCCACCTACCGTTCTCCTTCCCCACAGGGCTGTGGCCTCATCCTATGGCCTCTATAAGGCAGCATCACCAGGTATGCAGCCGGAAGCCCAACATCCAGCCATTCATTCCCTCAGCAAACATTTTCTGAGGACCTAGTTTGGCAGGCCTGGTGCTAGGATCAGGGATAAGGTGGGAAACCAGACAGTCATAGTTCCTGTC